TTCGCGAAACCATCCACAGTACCAAAGGGTGTGGCTAAGGAGAAGGTCAGGTAGGTTAGCATGGTTGGAAGAGGTGATGCTCCTACCATTGTTGTAACCTGCCCAGACCCTCAAACTACCCCCCCCCCTCAAAGTTGGAATGCGCCAGTTCCCATAAATGTGGGTTGCAATAATTCCCATGTGTCAGTTGGAACTTCTGTTGGGTTCAAGGTACTGCCGTTGACTGACCGAGCCATTCTCTTCGCACCATTTTCGGAGCCGCAGGAATATCCTCTCCGGCCGGCGGTCAGCAGGTCGAACGCCGGGCTCCAGAGAGAGCTCGGTTTGGGGGAAGGCGGACGCCTCAGGGTTTAGGCCGCTGACTGGTTTGATCCCGCACATGGGCGCATGGAACCTGGGGAGGGGAGGGGGGGGAAGCCCAACTTTTCGCCCGTAAGCCCCTAGTGCCTTGTTTGGGGCTTGTTGGGCTCCCTCCCCCACCTCCCTCCCCCCCAGCCATGAGCCCATGATGGGCCTTAAGGCTTTGGATGAAAAGAAGTGCGAGCAAGACGCCCCGATTTGATTTGCAGAGGAAACTCAGGCCATGGGCATTGGATCTCCATTTGCTGAAATTGAGTTTTGTTTATTTTCCCCTGTTGGTTTTCAAGGGAATCGATTTCACTGAAAGTATTGTTTGTTGTTCGGGGAGAAAGATCTGAAAAAAGCCAACGAGGAGAGTTGCTGATTCGGGTACCCCGAGGGCTCCTGGCTTGGACCATTTTCGATTGAAATGGACTCCCTGGTGTGCTTTCCTTGTTAGTGGTCCCTCATATTTTCGCCATATTTGGATGTAACGCCTCCAAATATTTGGGTCCTCGTATCCCCCACCTACCTTAAAGGGAAGGGGGGGGGATGCGGGGTCCCCCAATTCCATTCATCTAGTTTATGGAAAATATAGGAGCTCGTGGGGATTGCCCCGGACCACGATCCGGTTGAATCCAACGTTAAGCTTGTGGCTGTGGTTTCACCGCAAAGGCGTCGCGTTTGCGGTGAAACACAGAGCCACGGTCGTGTCAACAGAGTTGACATTTGGACTGTTTTTGTAGTAACTCAAATGCCTTAATACGGTTAAAAAGTTGGTCAGTCTTTGGGTAGCTTACAACCTCGTCCATTAAGACTTGAATCCCCAAACTGGGTAGGCCGCTAGGCCCTCCACTGGGCTTTTGGGTCGTCGTTCGTTTGTTTTCTTGCCCAGTGCTCTTCCCAAGGCATTCTAGGTCAGCGCAACAAAACATGAATTCAAGCCCGGTAGAGGGGGCCCTACCGTACCTACTTGTGACAACTGGAAGCACTGGGCTTTGTTTCTCCTTGTTTTTGGGCCCCAAACGACCGTGGGAGTCGCCCCTTGTACGGGTAGGGCAGCATTAGGGTTTTCCATTGGTGGGGGTGTCTGAAACTTCGGGAACCCCCCCCCCCACCAAAAAACAAACTACCTGGAGTCTCCATGACCCGTTAAAAATGGGTCCACGACACCATTGTTTTGGGTAATGTCCCCATGTTTTATGGTTGTGGAGACTCCAGGTAGCGGTTTTTAGTTTTTGCTTTCCCTTTAAAGCCGTGAACATATGAGGTACTCAGTTTAAACATGGCTGGTCTTCCTAGGTCTCAACCAGAGGAACCGATCGATCCCCGCCAGTCGATTCAGTTTTACGGGGAAGATCTGAATGGACAGTCTTGGATACCAAGACCCTGTCCCAAGGCCCTTTCTTTTCTCAGTTGTTCAGTGGCACCAATTAGTGTTCCTCTTTTTTTGGTGGCCCCACTAAAGTGGTCTTCCCAAAAAAGGGTTCCCTTTTTTGTCCAGGGTCACTGAACAACTGAGATATACATGTGAAAACCTTGGACCCTCAAACCACCTATGCAAAAGGGAATTCACCCTATAATTGTGTTAAGGGAATTATGAGGGTCCAGGCAGAGATCCGTGGAGATTACCGGAAGCAAGGATTCAAGGAGCTCATTCGGGCGTCTTTTAGCTTGCAGAACCCCTTTCTGGGCTGTTTCCATCAGGCCCCTCCGCACAAAATAAAATGGCATCAACAGCAACACACACACACACCCATTCCAGTGCTGTCGGATTCATCCGGAGGACCGCGCGAATCAAAACTACTTCAGCGGCTTCCTTTGATGACTTGGTCCTAGAGTCAAACCAAAGTTCATATCCGGCTGTGTTACCTCTTCCTTTTCGAGTGAGTCACTCAGATGGCTGGCTTGTTTCTTGATGGTACCCATTTCTTGCTGGCTTCAGGGAAAGAAACCAACAAAACCTGCGGGTACTCCTTTCCTGGTTGTTAAAGGCAAACCAAAAGGAAAACCAATGCGTGCCATTTTGGGGGCCGTCCAAGCCAGTGTGCTCCCTTGCCTAGCGCGAGTCGCGAGGCTCCGCAGCTGAAAGAGCCCGGGACGATGTGAGAAATTTCGCTGAAGCGAGCCAGCGCGGGGGTGGGCGCCTTCAAACGTGAACTCACTCCATGGAAATATATATGGGGTTTTGTCTTATAAAGAACCCAGAAAATGGGCTGTTTTTCGTCCTTCATATGTGGAACTCAATCCTGGTTCGGAACCAGTCCGGTTTCTGAGCTTTTTCGATCCCTTTTAGTTGGTTTAGTGTGGTAGTTTCCATATTTCACCCAATAGAAGTTAAACTTGCGGACAGCCCAGGCGAACGGGTTTGTGTTGAAATCAAGGAGCCAAAATGGGCTTCCCTAAAGATGCTCCCACATGTCCATCCAAGGGATTAGGAATTCGAAAGAGATGACTTTTCAAGAGCCACGACAAATCCAGCAGGACTCTCTCTGAAGCAATGGACAATATTGCCAGGGTCTTTTTGGGTCCCAGCCCGTGCAGAAAAAAATATGGCGCTCGTGTCGGTCATTGTGTTAAATCTTTCCAGGATGCCAAAGGGTGATAAACCCCGCCTCAGAATGGAGGGTCGTCTGTTTTGGACCCCTAGCACTGGTGGTTCCCAACAGTTCGGTTTCCTAGGCTTGATTTTTTTTGGTAGGGCTTAGTGGGGGGGTGCCAATTGACCCACTAAAAGCTAAACTTCAGGGGGACTCCCTGCCAAAACCGGCAAAACAGGAGTACCCTTAAATGACACACCTAGAGGTTCTTGTTCACTTTCCGAAGAGGACACCACAAGGCATGTGTTTCAACAGATCAAAGCAGATCTTCTACTGTCCAGGACCATGTGAGCCACAATCAAAACCCGGGTAGATGAAGGTTAGTAAGGGACAATCTCAACGATATACAGCTGCGGCCGCCTTCCTAGTTCTTTACATGGTTCTGGGGATCAACCATTTTAATACCGGGTTTTGATTGTGACTCGTGTGGCTTTCCCTCAAAATATTGGATCCATGCGCCTTGGGGGCATACCTGGGGCGACCATGAACCCAAATCCGGGCATTCCCATGTTTGCTCGTCTTTCGAGTCGAGTCGGTAGCCTTTTCGGGTCTTTGCAGACTAAAGGGAACATAATTTCTTACGATTGTTTGGTTCTTTTCATATTTGGTAGGCTGGTAGGCTGCAAAAAGCCGAAGGTTCTGTTGCTACCATACCGAGGGTTGGAAGGGGAAAACAATCTGTTCAAGGGCAGGGATCGCATCCTTTAAAGGGAAACCAGAGCTTCCTTGTTGAGCTACTGTGGATGGACAAAATCCTGTACGTTGAAACCATGAGAAACAAGTGTTTGTGGGTAGTTGCACGGGAATCAACATTCCAGTGTTTCTTAGGTGGTGCAAAATGGATTTCGTCCATCCACAGTAGTGTTTGATTTTGGTAAGGGGCTTCATCATTTTCACAGCGGCACTTGATGCTCGTCAGCGCCAGGGTCAGACCTGCAGATGTCGGCAAGTTTTGTTGTTTGTACATGATTAAGGATTCCCAGCCTGAGCTTACGTGGATCCATTTACCTGTACAGGCAACCAAAGGAGCCGCCCTTTAAACAACACAAAAACGGTTGCTGGCTGCGTGCTACAATGGCAACTGAGATCTGGCTTGCCTTTGAACAACCTTTTGGCAGGGGGTCTAAGTCTGGTCAAGATAAATGGGCACGATATCGCCATTGTTCCTCAACCCCGGTGCTGATGACTTCATCCGACCAACGGTGCCCAAACAAGGAACCTCAATGAGAACGTCCAACAGGTTAGACAACGCCAAGGGTAAAAAACTAAGAAACATATATTTCCGGGCTGAATGTAAGCTTTGAACTTTTTTTACGAGTCCTCTCTGTGTGTACCTTGTTCAATGTGCTGGGCGAAATTTCGTGGTTTTCCCCCAACTTGTATGTTCGCGGTTGGTTAGACGATACAGGGATCATCCCAATGAGAACTGCAAAAGGAAAACCAAAGCACATGGCCTGCTTGTTTCCACCAAGGGGACAGCTCTCCCCCCCTCAACGAATTCAAAACTGCACCAGCCTTCCAGGCTGACGTGTCACCCAAAAAGCAGGGCGTGATGGTTCTCCATCCATCGCCTCTGCGAACGAGCATAGCGAGTGAGCATAGCGAGCGAGGCGAGCGCTCGGCAAAGCGGAAAGGCAAATCTCCGCTGGGAAAGAGAGGCGCTTTGGAAGTGCTGTGAGTGTGAGTGTGTCTAGGGTAGACTTAGGATACCTTTTACATTTTACCAGGGACTTAAGGTGAAGCAAACAAACAAAAAAAAGTCTATAACTGGGCCTAACTCTAATCATGGTGGGTGTGGGTGTGGGTGTGGGTGTGGGTGTCGGTGTGTGGGGGTGTGGGGGTGTGGGTGTGTGGGTGTGTGTGTGTGTGTGAGAGTGCGTGTGGGGGTGCAGGTGCGGGTGCGGGTGCGGGCGCGGGTGCGGGTGCTCGTGCGCGCGCAGGTGCGCGCGTACGTGCGTGCGTGCGTGCATGCGTGCATTGCGTGCGTGCGTACGTGCGTGCGTGGGTGCGTGAGTGGGTGTGTGGGTGTGTTGGTGCGTGGGTGTGTAGGTGTGTGGGTGTGTGTGTGTGTGTGTGTGCGCGTGCAGAAGCGATCCACTTTGTTCAGTCCTTCATGCCAAAACGGGGCGATCGGTAGTTTTGTCAGGGACTTGTGCGATGTCGGAAACCTCCTGGAAACCTGTTTCGCAAATGGCGCACCCGCTTAGCCAAGCTTCCAAAAAGCGAACGTAACCTTTCCCAGTGCTTCCAGCTACAGGGTGAAGCATCATACCTGAGCACAGAAAGAACGGTTACCATGGCAGCAGCGGTATGTTGTTTTAAGGTCTGTGTCGCATGCGAGCCCAATGCGAGCAGTGACTTGAGACTCCCCGCCTCCTTTCGCCCAAGGCGTCGAATCGAAGGGGTAGAATTTGCAATGTGACAAGGGGAATACTTTTTGGAAAGCTGGTGGACATAAATCCCATAGTCCAAAGGTGCAATCATTCTACACAGTTCTTTGTATGTTTCGGCTGTTTGGTTCTTTAGCTCTGCATGCTGAAATTATTTTCAGCGGGTTGTATCGGGACCTGCAACGAATAAAGTTGTCAGTGGAGCAGCGAGGGGTTGTAACCGGAGCTTTGGGTACACCCCCAAATTATCGCTGAGGAAGCACAGGGGCGGCCGTGTGCCAAACTCCCTGGCCAGTTTGCAACCTCCAACTTCGCAGCGACAAGCGATGTTTCGTTCCAAGTCGGATTGAGCACTTACCCTTGTGGTAATCATGCACTGTGGCTTTATATACCTTTGAATCTGTTGACCATTTGGAAATGTTTGGCTTTCCACCCAACTAGCAACTAGCTGCGGTTTTCCTCTGGTCAATCTCCAGCCGTGCTCAGGTAATTCTTTCAACCTCCACACTGTTGATCGAATTCGGCCAGCATACCCTTAGACTTTTAGACGTTTAGGGTGTTGGGGGGTGTCACATACTTAGTTGTCCAAAGCCGACCGCCTCTCACCTGTTGGTTTTCCTTGTTTGGTCCACTTTTAGAGCGCCTAAAAGGTGATCGCCATTTATTTCTGGATCCTTCCATGATCCACTTAACTGCTAAAATTTGAGAGTGTTTGCAACCCTTCCAACGTCAAGCAAGGAATGAACCACTCCAAATCACCACTCGCAGTGTCCACTTCCTTGGGCGCCATGGGTCATGGTGCTCGGGCGCTTGGGGCTACAGGCGAAAACCGAGAAAACCGCTCTGCTTCGAGTCGTTGAGGGTTGAGGTCTGGATCAAACGAGAGTATAGAGGATATGGGTGTGGGATACTTGTTTCTTGTGCTTTTAAGGGGAAACCGGGAACCCTCCATTTTGGAGGTCCCCCACAAAAAAAGCCCACACCTAATTTGCATTTTTGTTTGCTTGAAGGGTACCATTTTGACCTTGGAGCGGGAAACAGAAAGGACATTTGTCATGTTGCGGAGTCCTTTGACACAGACCCAGGGGAGTGTCCGCGGCGCAGTGTCCGGTTTCCTCCAGGCTGCAGGTGCGACAAAGTGCCTGAGCAAGTCACCTGAGTTGGCAAACTGTAGGCTCATAGGCTCATAGACTAGGTCCCCAGTATTGCCCTTCTCCTCCCTTTTTTTGGGGGAGGGTTCCCCTTACTAAAATAGACAAAACCGAAAAACTCTCTGGAGGAGCTAGTAGATGTCCTTTTGATCGGGGTGAGTTTGGGTAGAAACAGACGGGAGCCACTGGTTTAGAAAAGTGTTATGCCCCATTTTCCGAGGAAGCCCATCCATATTTCCAAAAGGACACCTGCACAGCGGGTTCGCCAATCAAGATCCTATGAATCAGGAGGAGTCTCTGATATAATATTGCCGGCTCTGGAAGCACTGCCAGTTGGCAGTCTGAATAGTCAAAACCCAAACAAGTTCCTGAACCCGAAAGAAGTACCCATAAACATGGTTGTCGTTGGGGAACATTTTACATGTTTGCATCTTGTGCTTTAGTGGTTGAAATCCAAATCCACTGAACTGCTAAAATATATATATATATATATATATATTTGCTCCCCTATCCCAACGTCCACCAAGTAAAGAGTTGGAAGGTTCACCCATTTCATAACTTGCCGGTGGGTGGGCATGACCCAGGGCCTTGGGGCTTTAAAGGAAACCAGGGATGGTTCACGGGGGTCATGGCCTCATTTTTTTTCGAACCAGGCACGAGACTTGTGGGCTGCAAGTTGCATTCTGAAAAAGTGGCCATTTCTTCGGGTCCAGGTTCATGTTTCGTGGCCAGACTCAATCTCGAGAAAGAACCGCTACAAAGTGTTGTTTTGCTCCGCACCAGGAAGTTGCCATGGACATGGGGGAGCGCTTAGATGACCATCCCGTTTGGTGGTCTGAGCTGTCCGTTGTTAGATTCCCCGCTAAAAGTGGACAACTGTTAGTGGGCTAAATGGAAAACCAACCACTAAACACTACAAGGCTAGAAAGCTAAGGGGATGGCTGGGAGCCACCAAGTGGTGAATTTCGTAAATCTCAAATCCCACTTGGGGGAGGCTTGCGCACCTGACTTTGCTGAAGA